TAAGCTGTCTGGTTGTTTGGTTGGCGCTTATGGAAAACCACTGATTCTGGAAAATTGACCATTCTGCCCCTGTATTCTGGAAACTTTCATATTTGCATATAACCATCATGAATGTAAACACATAATAATTGTGTGTTAGGTTTGTACATTTCCCTTAACTTTATAGAAAATCGTTACATTGTAAGCTAAGATATATTCTCTCATATGTCCTTCTAATAATGACAAACTTGTTTAGATCATTATTGTTACATTTTTTCTTTTTTGGTTGATATCCAAATTCATATTATAGTATTTTGATTTTCTTCAGTTAGGCAAATTTCATGAAATGCTGCTGCTGGTATGCTTTGATTTGAATTCTCTTATTAATGCAGGCAAATTGAAAAAAAAAAATGTCATCCAAAGATGGTCTAAATGCCAAATTAAAGCATAAGACCTTTCTTGATTTGAAGTTATGGGCGATGATTGGCATCAGTTGTGTTGCTTTGTTAATATTTGTTCGAATTGTCCTATTCATATTTTTAAACAGGAGGAAATCAAAGATGAAGCATCTGCGCTTGCCTACCATGACAAGGATTCTAGAAAAATGTTGGATCCTTTAACAACCGAAGGAATCCCAATGCAACACAAGCTCAAAAAATGCCCAGCATTGAAAGCCCTAAATGCAAAACTACAAAAAATGCAGTTTCTAAGCAGAAAAGACACATAAACTGATACAATAAAGCAATCTAGGAAGAAAAACAAAGAGAAGAAATGCTCACAACAAGGAAAATAAAACGTCAAAAAAAAAAAAAACAAAACAAACCTTTTTTTATGCTTGGAAAGGGATATTTTGATGCTCAGCTGACACTGCCTCAACCCCATCTTCCCCACTATCTCTCATGCCCAAAACCTGCAAACCATCGCAATTGTTACCTGGCCTTTTCTCATTCCAGGCGAGGGATCATCGACATTGTCTCGCTTGGGGTCGTCGCTTCCGCATTCTGCACCCTCAAAATCTACGGAAAGCTTCTGGATCGCAACCTGCTAGGGTTTCGAGGGCGGTGGTCTCTTGCGAGCGAGGGAGGAGACGCGGGGGACGGGGCACCAAAGATCGGTGGTCTCTTACGAGCGAGGGAGAAGAAGTAGCGGGGCACCGAAGGAAATAAGCAATCGAAAACGCGGCCCGTGGGGGACATCCTGTGGGCCGCGTCTTTCACAAAATTAAAACGCAATTTTTAGGTACGCACTTGAAACATGCGATCCAAACGCTAGGACAGCGTTTTCAAAACGCGATCCGCAGTTTTAAGCTGCCCCAAACGAGCCCTAAGTCCTTCGTTGGGTCACCGGCTCGGTACAAATATTCTTTTCCAAATAATGCGCTGCTCGCAAGCCCCAAGGTGAAGTTTTTACAGGTTGCAACTACTATAACCAGTAAAAGTGGCCATCGACTAGGAAGTGTCGGCTGCTGGAACCGACAGAGGTGGTTGGTTGTTGATAGATCTAGGGTTAGACTCTGATACCATGTCAGAATTGAGAATAGAGCAGCATATTTCTCATTGATACAAAGAGGGGTATTTAAACCCAATACAATGAACACAAATAAGAAAAGAAATAACAACACAATCAAAGAAATAAAATCAGAAAAAAGATAAAAAGAAAACTACATAATACAAAATAAGGAAAATTAATAAATGATAACCACCATGGAAAGCCAATAAACCTAATAAATCTAATAACTTGAAAGAAAAGTGAAAACCTATTGGCATTAAAGTTAATTTTACAACAAACCAAATCCCTGCATAATCTAATCACTTAAGCTATATAAATTAGCTAAGATTGTGGCACTAGGGTGAACCATTGAGGTCAATGGCAGCAATTTCACCTCCATGAGAACTGTTCCTCAACTTGAAAAATTGCATATCATAATTGTTCTGCCTGCATTCATCATGCGTATATAAGAGATCCTTATCTGCATAGGTCGTAAACTACATTCACTTGTGTCCAAAATAAGTGGTTGAACTGATGGATAATAATAAACTATAAATGACTACATTCAGAGACATAGGGCAACTACAAAATTGACATTCTTATGAATAAGAATATCCTTCTCATGTAAGAGCTACTATTAAACATAAGGAATACAGATTAGATCAGTTTAGTTTTTTTTTTTTAAGCAAGAGAGGTAAAGCAAATTCCACAAATAACTACATAAGCAAAGAAACAATGATATGGTGAACAAAGTTATTACCTCAAAAGCAAAGAAGCCGCCAGGTTTTAGAGCTGAGATCAACCCTCCACATAGATGAAAAAGATGATGCATGCCATTGTTCCCTCCATCCAATGCTAAACTAGGTTCGTGTTTACTAACTTCACCTTGTAATCCAGGAATATGACTGCTTGGTATGTATGGTGGATTGCTAACCAATCCGCTTAGCTTTCCTTGAAGATCTTGCAGAGGTTCAAACCAATATCCCTGCCTTATCTCCACTTTGTCCTAGATACATAACGCCGAGTGTTAAGCTTATCAAATTCAAAAACTGAATCACTTAAGCGAAATGGGCATTAGAAAATTCATGCAGCTTAAACATAAATGCAGAAATGTTGAATTTTGGGAATTGAGCAGGATAATATTATTGAGCAACCAAAGAGGTATAAATACAAGATACAAGGAGTACAGAATAGTAAAGACATAATACCCAAATATCTCCTATTAACACCCAAAAGATAAAAAGGAAAGGCATTAACTAGAAAATAAATAGAAAAGAAAATAACAGGAAAGACAACAAAATATATAGAAAAAACTTCAAATACTCCCCCTCAAGTTGAAGCATAGGTGTCAATCATGTTCAACTTGGATTTAAAGTCGTCAAACAATGGTCGAGGAAAATTATTTGTGAGGATATCTGCAAGTTGACCACTGGATGGGACAAATGGAACACAAATCTCCCCAGAATCTAGTTTCTCCTTAATGAAGTGACGGTCACTCTCTACATGTTTGGTGCAATTATACTGGATCGGATTATGAGCAATGCTAATGACAACTTTATTATCATAGAATAGTTGTAGATGAACAGAGACTGACATTCGTAACTCACAGAACATGATGCACAACCAGAGAGTTCCACATATGCCCAAGGACATAGAACGAAACTCGGCTTCGACACTGCTGTGGGCAACCACCAACTGTTTTTTGTTTTTCCAAGTGATAAGGCTTCCCCACACGAAGGAGCAATAACCCGAGGTAGATCGTCAATCATGGATGGACTTGGCCTAATCAGCTTCCATATAAACTGCAATAGAACAAACCTGAGCCCAATATGTCTTTTAAGTAGTGGAGGATCCGGTGGACAGCAGTGTAACGGTGCTAATAGGGGTCATGTATGAATTGACTTACATTACCAACAACATAACAAATGTTGGGGATTGTATGGGCGAGATAAATGAGTTTACCCACGAGAAGTTGGAAGTGTGTCTTGTTTACCGGAGCGGCATTGGGAACATTTGTCAATTTCTCATTAGGATTTATCGGAACAAAAACCGGTTTGCAAAGGAAAAAGTTGGTCTCGGTCAATAGGTTCATCACACATTTGCACTAAGAAAAACAAATGCCCCGAGAGAACCAAGCAACTTACATGCCTAAGAAATATCGGAGAGACTTCAGGTCCTTCATTTCAAAAGATACGGCGAGGATGCCTTAAAGAGACTCCAAGGCTAGCAGAGCATTATCTATGAGCACAAGATCGTCGACATAAGCGATAAGGATGACAATATGGTCACTAAAGGAATGTCGAAAGAAAAGAGTATAATCTGATTGGGCCTGAGAGAACTCATGGCCCACTACCACCAATGTGAACTTGTCGAACTAGGCCCAAGAAGATTGCTTCAGTCCATAGATGGACTTTCGCAGTCGGCACACTTGTCCATAGGAAGAAGTAGAGTCAAAGCCGCGAGGGAGAGACATATACACCTCCTCTATGAAATCATCATTAAGGAAAACATTCTTGACATTCAGTTGGAGTAAGGACCAATCCAGATTCACGGCCAGGGATAACAGAACTCGAAAAGTGTTCAGTTTAGCAACTGGAACAAACGTCTCCTCATAGTCAATTCCATAGGTTTGTTATGTATTCTTTGGTGACCAACCGAACTTTGTTACGCTCAAAGGATCCATCGAAGTTAAATTTGGTGTTGAAAATCCACCGATAATCCACTGCTTTCTTTCTCTGAGGAAGATCAATAATATCTCATGTATGGTTTCGCCAAAAGGAATTCCTCTCATCCATTACTGCAACATTCCAGAAAAGGTTTGCCGGTGGATAATCCACTGTTTTCTTTCTCTGAGGAAGATCAATAATATCTCATGTATGGTTTCGCCAAAAGGAATTCCTCTCATCCATTACTGCAACATTCCAGAAAAGGTTTGTCGGTGTTACCTCAATAGTTGATGGAAGATGATGGTCCGTCATGGAAGTGGCAAATGCTTTGTAGGTCGGCAATAAGCTGTCAAACAAAATATATTTTGTTATGGAATAAAGAAAGCATGTCAGATTACGTACCTCAATGATAGAGCTCACCTCCTCATTCGGAGCAAGAGTAATCCCCGCAATTTGAGTGTAGTTCCGAGAATGTCAAATGGAGTAGCTTCCAAGACCTGCAAAGAGGTTGTAGGCTCAAGAGTATGAGCATTGGGATAAGTCTCAACATAAGGTTTGATGCACCAAGTATAGACACGAAGAGTGGATGGAGTAGATATTGGTCTGGTTGGCGGCAAATCCAGTGGGACAGAGGGTTCCTCGAAAACAATGGTTGGAGGTGTAGGTGGAAAATCCACTAGAGTTGGAAAAGGAATAACATCCAAAAAATCTAGTTATTCCTCACTTGGGGCAGTGTTGGGGAAGTAGGGGACACTTTTAAAGAAGAAAACATCGGCACTCACATAGACTTTATTTGTGATAGGATCAAGAAATTGATAGCATTTTTGAGTGGCAGAATATCCGAGGAAAACACATTTGCTTGAGCAGGGATTAAGTTTATCACAAGTTAGGGCAGTATTCTGAACAAAGGTCAACTGATAGGAAAACATGACGTCAAGCGGCTAACGGGGCCAAGAAATTGTGAATTTTCGTGGGGATTATTGATGAGATAAATGGTGGTAAGTACAGCATTTCAAAAACATTTCAGGACATTAGATTGAAACACAAGAGAACGAGCCACTTCGAAAAGGTGTTGGTATTTTTTCTCGGCTGCCCATTTTTTTGAGATGTATCTGTACAGAAGCTATGATGCAGAATGCAGTTATCAAGAATTCTCCAAATATAAAGTTAAAAAAACCACGACCATTTTAGATCCGAAGGATTTGAATTGAAGTTTTGAATTGGGTTAAAACGAATGAGTAAAAATTTTGGAAGGTGACCGCAACTTCATATTTATCTTTTTAAGATATATACTCAAGTCATCTGAGTGTGGTCATCAATCAAGGTAAGGAACCAGCGTTTATTAGTGTAGCTCAGAGTTCGAGAGGGTCCCCATAAATGACTATAAATTAGTGAAAAATGAGTAGAAAGAGTGAGGGGTGAATATGAGACACAATGATATTTAGCTAACACACAAATCTCACATTTGAAGTTAGATAGATTATTGTTAGAAAACATCAAATAACACAATTGTTTTAAATATTGAAAATTATGATGACTCAAACGATAATCTAAAAGCGTAATATGACATTCAATGAATAGGGTAAAACTGCAACTATAGGATGGAGTGTCCTCGCCCTCAATGCACTTTCCTTGGAAGAAGTAGAACCCGACCACCCACTTAGCAGTTTCAATCATCCTCCCCAAAAGACAATCCTGAAAGACACAAACATCAATAAAAAAATAAACGACGCAATCAAGATCATATGTCAACTTACTGACTGACACAATCAAGGTCATATGCCAACTTACTGACTAACGCAATCAAGGTCATATGTCAACCTACAAACTGACAAGAGATTACACTTCAGCAAATGTACGTGTAACACAGAACCACCAGACACTTTACCTACAATGGAACTATAGGAACTGCCAGCAATTTTGATAGTATATTTTCCAGAGCACGGATAATATGTCGAGAAACCATGGGAAAATTCATGACACCTGAATCAATAATTCGCGTGCTAGAAGAAAGAAAAACTATGAAAATCATTGGAATGTTACCTTGACGGACATAGGAGGTCGATAGGTTGGAAGAGAGCTGACTAGATCCAAGTAGCTTAATTAAAGACTCCATCTAACTCTCAATGGAGTCTACTGATTTCGAGATGTTCAGAGTGGGAGTCGGTTGTACCGTCATGGATTTTGAGGTCTTAGTGAGACCCATAGTAGCGGAGTATTTGGACGAAGGTTTACTCGCCAGTTTTTGTAGAGTTTCCAACACTTGTCATGGGTTTGGTTGGGTTTGTGATAGAAATCACATGTAAAGTGATCGGCCCGTGATGGCGTGGAACAGTGTTAAGCACTATTGAAAACCGAGGCGGAAGGTTCGACTAATGGTGGAGGTGTTGAGCATGACAAGCCTCCGGGTTTCTTCGTGGTGAATCTCGGTGAATGTTGTCATAGTTGAAGAAAAGGGATCTCAACCAAGAATGTAGCCCCAGACTTCGTCGAGATTCTTGTTTAGGCTGGCAAGAAATTAAAACATATGATCATTTTCCATAATTTTTTGGAAGAGGGAAAGATCAATTGTAGAGTCCCAAGTGTACTCATAGTAGAGATCATATTTCATTCATAAAGCAACCAATTCATTGCAGTGCTGTGTCACGGTTCTTGATCCTTGTTTCACCTCGAAAATCTTCTTATAAACCTCATAAAGTTGGTCGAAATTCCCTACGTTAGAGTAGGTATCACGAACTGCAGTCCTGAGGGCACTTGCAGATGGAAGAAATAGGTACGAACAGCCAATCGAAGTCTCCATGGAATTAATCAATCACGACATGATCATGGAATTCTCCACTTCTCACGCTGCATATGTCGGGTCAATCTTCGAAGGTTCACCAATCATACATGTGAAATGACTAGATTTCATGTGTCCTTCGACGAATAATGACAGCTTGGGACCACTGGAAGAAATTAGGTCCTCAAGTTTGCAGAGGAATTGAGGTTGGTGTTGATCCTTCGGTGGGGTCGATGGTGAAGGAATCTGACATAAATCCTGCTGAGTCAAATGTAAGGTTGGGATGCTGAGACAAAAAAATTCTGCATGCAAGAGGGAGAGGCGGTGGCGAGAGGTCCTATAGGGAATGGACAAGGTTGTGGCAAGGTGCTTCGGCTATCCAGAAGGGAGATCAGACCGGTTGGAGGGAGGTCCGACAGCTGTAAACACCTGACAGAAAGATTAGCGATAGCAGCCTTCAGAAAAATGGGGACGGGAAAGCCTGCCGGGAAGCTAGGGTTGAAATCTGCATGAGAAGGGACCCAACAGCGGGAGAAATGGTAGGAAAGAAGGGAACCGGAGGCAAAAGCCTACAGGAGAAGGCCTGCAAGAAGAGCTGGTGGCTAGGATGGCGTCCTCGCAGCTAGGGTTAAGTCCTTGGCTCTGATACCATGTTGAATTTTGGGAATTGAGGAGGATAATATTATTGAGCAGTCAAAGGGGAATAAATGCATCATACAAGGTGTATAGAATAGAAAAGATATAATACCAAAATCTCTCATAATAACACCCAAAAGATAAAAAGAAAAGGCATAAACTAGGAAAAACATAGAAAAGTAAATAACAAGAAAGGCAACAAAATAAATTGAAATAACTTCTAATAATAACAATAAAGATGTAAAAAGGGAATCAAAGTTCATCTTAAAGCTTGCAGATAAGGAATAGATGACTTTCATAGCATAAACACCATTTTATAATTGAGATGTTTAAATAATAATAATAAGCATTAGGCTAATTTTAAACTAGAGGTGGGGAACTAATAGACATCAGTAATAAATCAATGGCAATACGAGCCATATTGCTGTTTTCCATCTGGATACCAGTTATTAGAGAGTGACACTTGCTGTCTTTGATCCCTGTCCTACATGAAACGAAAACACCATGTTTGCAGCAGAATATTTACAACACAAATCAAATTTCAAATATATCGATGCCACCAAATTGAACACATGTATTTAATGCAGCAAAATTGGCTACGTTTATCTAGTATGACACAAGCACTGCGCGAAGAAGACAAAAAAAGAAAAAGTGACTGAATGTAAAATAAATGAAGAAAATTTACACCAAAACAAACGGTTGACATTTCTTCTACCTAAAAACGCCCACAAAGTTGAAAAGCTCAGAAAAAATAGCCTCTACATTACTCTTTCCAGATATCTTGAACCTCAATATACGCACATATAAATGCACTAGCATATATGCATTGTATAAGTACATACATACCACAAATTCTTATGTAATTACATATCTAACACCTAAACATTCAAATTTATATGCATACCACTCAAATCTTTAAAATCACATAAAAAATACCACAAATCACTACATTTAAAAGTAAAATCCTAATTCTCATGCAAAGGTTTATAACACCAAGGTCTTATAAAACTAAATATCAAATTTCAGACGCTAGATATGAAAATACATAAGAATTGTTTGGTATTTATGTAAATTTCCCTATATATTACCATCTGCAACTACCAATATTCAAAAAGCCATTGCTTCAGAAAGAATACCAAGTAAAATGTTTTCAAGCAATATAGCCATATAGGGATTACTTACCTCCAATTTATACCTCCCCACATTGAATCGAGCAACCTCCACAGCAACCTCACTCAAATCCGTCGCCACAACCCTTCCATTATCCCCAAGCATCCTGCCAATCGCTATGGCAATGGCACCACTCCCGGTTCCCAAATCCGCCCACAAACCGTCCTTGAACCCTTCCACCCCCGCCACCAAATCGACAAGCTCCTCCGTCTCCGGCCTAGGAATCAATACCCCTTCTCTCACCGCCAGGACCAAATCACGCCAATGCTCGCACCCAACAATGTACTGAAACGGTCGCCGCTCCTCAATTCGCTGCAACCATAAACGGTGGAGATCTTCAAGATCGGTTCGCAGCAACAGGGTATCGCCAGCTTGAAATGTAGCGTCCTGTAGAAGCCATGAAAGCTCGCGGAGTAGTTCAGATGCAGAGGGCCCGCCGTCGACAGAGAGTTGGGGGGCGGAAGATCGGGCTAGAGATTCTGCCCATTGGCGGAAGGAAAGGAGGGAGGAAGGGGGGCAGGAGTGGGAGAGGGGGCGTAGGAAGAGAGGAGTTTGGATTTTTAGAGGAAAAAAGAAGTGTGAAGCTGTTGAAGAGGCGATGGTGGTGGTGGTTGAATACGAGAGGGGGCGGCGGAGCGAGGCAGATGAAGCGGAGAGGATAGTGAGTTGGAGCCTAGAAATCATTTGGGAATTTTTTTTTTTTAGTTCTGATGGGACTATTATAAGAGACTCTTTGGAAATTTCATAAGATTTATGAGATATAAAATTTAGGCTACTTTTAGCGCAGCTTATTCGTCACCTTTGCATTTTCAAAATGCCGCCACGGCGTTTATTTTCCCCTTCTTCGATGGATTTCGTGATACGTCATTTTTGTTTTGTAATAAATGCCGGCAGGCAGCCCGCGTTACCTCTCTGCCCTCCCGTCGCGCTTGCCCTCATTCCAAGTTTTAGGTGCCTCTTCCATCCTCTTTGCCCTCATCCAGTGGATTTCAATCGCTCCCCAATATGCCTCTCTCACGCTTCTCTCTTGATTGTTGCCTTTCTCATCCTCTTCCTCTCTGAAATTTGTGGTGGTGCACTATAAGTATTATCGTCGCCTTTCTTGCGGTGATTTTTTATGGAATGACTTTTCTGTGTGTTGATTTGGCTTTCTTCTTTGTTATGAGAAATTTGCAGTGCTCTTGTGGTGAAATTTGAAGGAATGGTTTTTTTCTCTGATTTTCAAGATTTCTCCTTTTTTTGTGCTTTTTTCTCTCGACTGTTGTCTTTGGTTGGGTGTTGGATGTTGGCCTTGGTTGTGTGTGTTGGTGGTTGGAATTGGGTGTGTGTGACTCTCAGTACTGTTGCCTTTGGTTAAGTGTTGGAGGTTGGACTTGGGCGTGTGTGTTGGTGGGTGAACATGGGTGTGTGTGTGTGTGCTGCATATCAATGCAGGTTTGCATTCTAAAAGCCTATTTTTACTCAGTGGGAATGAAAATTTCATCTATGTGAGGTCCTGTAGGGGTCATTGGGTTGCAGGGAAGATTAATGTTGTGCTTCATATATCATTTTAATAAAAAAAAATTGAAAGGATACGCTAAGCCATACAATCAGGACTTGGTGCCAATTATTTACACACCCAACTCAGGTTTGATGGAAAGCTTGAAGGGTTTTGAAGTTGTTAGTGCTTAGTTGACAGTAAGGAAGGAACAAAATTGGTAATGATTGACCAGGGGTCTAATTCTTAGCATTTGGAAATGTTACACATGAAGATGGGTGTGTCTGTCGGTGGTTTGGACTTGGGTTTGTTTGCTCTGAGGTCGGACTTGGGTGTTGGTTGGTCTTCAGTGTGTGTGCATTGGTTATGGTTTGTTTGTGTGGTTGAACTTGGGTGTACCTGCTGGTGTTTGGACTTGGGTGTATGTGTGCTGGATGCGATGTGTGTGTGTGTGATTGGACTTGGGTGTGTCTGCTGGTGGTTGGACTTAAGTGTGTCTGTTGGTGGTTGGACTTGGGTGTGTGTGTGATTTGAATTGATTGTGTCTGCTAGTGTTTGGGCTTGGGTGTGTTTGTTGATGGTTGGACTTGGGTGTGTGTGTAGGTGGACTTGAGAGTGTATGCTGGTGGTTGGACTTCAATGTGTGTATGTTGGTTATGGTTTGTTTGTGTGGTTGGACTTGGGTGTGTTTGTTGGTCTTTAGACTTTGGTGTGTGTGCGCTGGATGTGGTGTGTGTGCTGGATGTGGTGTGTGTGTGTGTGTGGTTGGACTTCGGTGTGTCTGCTGCTGTTGGACTTAAGTGTGTCCGCTAGTGGTTTTATGTGATTTTTTGCTTTCTCCTGCTTTGTCTATTACATGTTTCATGAAGAGTTAAGCTTATCCTATTTTTTGTTTTACTGCCTTTATGACTTCTTTCTTAATCCATTTCTTTTATTAGTAACGTAATGATTAGGATCAAAGAAGTGGCTACATCAGCAATGTGAGATAGAAAACTCACAATCATATTTTACAACCTCTGTATTAAGGAGATCGGGCTTAAAAACAGACCCACCACTTACTTTAACAAAGAAGGGCGGTTGAATATTTTCAAGAAGAACCATGAAATGATAGGAAGGGATTACGTAAGGTTAAAATTTAAGAACAAGTGAGACCAGTTGAAGAAGGACTGGAAGCTATGGAAGGAGCTGAAACTGGGATCCACTAGCTTCGGTTGGGATCCTATCAAGCGGACCATTGATGCTTTAGAGGATTGGTGGACTGAGAATTTGGAGTTAATATGTAAACCTCTAAATATTTGTTCTTCCATTCATCTGTTTTAACAAATATACTTTCTCATATTTCACAGGCAATGCCAGGTGCCAAAAAATTCAAAGTAAGTGGCATTGAGTCGGACCTGAAGGAGAAGCTGGACCTCATGTTTAATTGAGCTGTTGCGAAGAATATACATGTTTTCACCCCAAGTGAGCATGGGTTTTCAAGCATACCAAATGACATGGGGGCTGAGTAGGTAGGTGGATCAGACAAAAGCCTCAGCTAAACCCAGAGGGAGTTGAAGTCCACTTGCCAGTCAAAGTGGCCTAGGATGGATAAAAGGAAAAAGGATGTATCTGCTTTCGTCATAAGCTCAATAAATAAACCAATAGAAGTATGCAGGGGTCAACCTGGTCCTTCAAATGACACCACCATAGACAACTTTCTTCGAGTTCTGGGCACATATCCTAAAGTTAGAGCTGATACTTCGTTCTATTTAAACTCCTTGAAGTTACTAGAGGACTCGACCCGCAAACAAATATTCATGAAAAGTTGCTTGTTTTTTTTTCATTTTAGGGTAGGAATATTTGATTTGGAAGTTTTATTTATTTTGCACAAACAATCAATATGCTGCTCTGTAATTATTTTTGTTCCATAATAATTAATCTTCAACTTTTATATGTTCTTTTAAATGTTATTTGATTCGTTCTTATTACCTGAAGATAACACTTTTCTAGGATGGATTGGCGGTGATTGCGCTGTATAAGAATAATTACGGCTGTTGTAATTATCTTGTATGATTACTGCAACTTCGTCGTAGATCGAATATTGATCCACCTAAAAATTACATTTTTTTAGTGTACATTTCATTTTCATTTTTATGCACATTTTTAATGATATTACACTTTAAGGAATGTATTTTGCATATTTTTATCTTCAGGTACAAGAAATAGACTTTTGGTGAAAATGAACAAAAACGGTGCAATTTGGAGCCAAATTGAGCAAATAAAAATATTCTGATCTGGTGCATTTCGATATGACTTTCCATGCTTAATATCCTTCATATTTATTTCATGGTTTTGAATGAAATTAAACTTTAAAGAAATGTTGTTATCATGTCTATCTTATTGGTATACAGACCTGAAGCGCAACGGAGCTGAAAAGGGGCGAAACATAGCCGAAACGGGGCGAAATAGAGTTGAAACGGGGTGAAACAGAGCTGAAACGGAGTGAAATGGGGCAAAACGGAGCTGAAACAGGGCAAACGGGGCGAAACGGTTGAGCTGCACGCAGGGTGGTGCTATCATCCCTAAATTGGTGCCATAGCGCCAGCACAGGCACTATAGTGCCCCAGACTGGCGCCATTGCGCTCGAAACGGTTATTGGACGACTTTTGGAAGATTCTAAGTCATTCTGAGATGTTCTGGAAGCTTTTTGACAACTTGCACGCCCCATGAAGTAATTCAATGAATCTAGACACTTGGAAAAAACTTTTTATGAAGAGATGTCTCTCTTGGAGTGAAATGGTGTGTCACTTGGATGAAGGAGAGTGTCTTTTGGAAAAAGGAGGTGTTTGACTCCTCTTTAAATAGAGGGGCTTGATGTTTCTCATGATAAGTAATTATGAGAGTTTAAAGAAGTAATTAGGAAGTGTTTTAGGAGGAGTTTGTTGTAAGTTTATGGATATGTTGATTTCTTCATTTTCTGAAGAGATTAGTAAGGGATTTTGAGAGATATGAGCAAGAAAGTATGAGCGGCGCATGGATCGACAGAAGACTTTGTTGGAGGGATTTTTCTTCTTTCTTTCAAAGGGAAAAAACTAAGTATTGTGTTTTTTTATTTCCTTGTAATTGTTTTAAATACTTTCTAGTGGATTTTCTTTGATTTAAACGAAGTTTTCTGTTGTGTTTTATCTATGCTTCATAAGTAGTTTTCTTTACTCTTTGCTTTTAATATGAAGTAGTGACATGTGTAGGAAAATTTGTTTTATGATATAATTAATTTTATTTTCATGTGATAAGTAACATCTCCTTTACTTCATTGACATAACTTAAGTGACAATAAGTTATGTTAAAATCTGTTGTATGTGAAACTAAGACTTGGGAAAACGGTGATCTTGCAACTTGAGTGCACTCACATTGACCGGTTGACTGGTAAAATAATTTAGGCGGTAATGCAACTTTTAAGGAAATATAATCTAATGATCAATTTCTATTAGATGCTTTTAGGTGACAGATAGTTGCATAAGACAAATAAATTACTAAGCTTACTTACACATTCGAAAGAGGGTGGGTAGACATATGTTCCTTGTTGGCACATAACTTATTACTTAATTCTATTAAATTTTTTTACTGTTGATGTCATTGTCTTCATTTTAATTTTCTTTCGAAATGAAAAAAACACATGTTTAGGAATTTAGTTTTGCTTAAAAATTCTCATATTTTATTAATGTGATGGTATTTTCACCGGCTCTTAATTGACTTTGCAAACTTATCACTTGTGAGGTAAAAATCCATTGAGAAACATAATGACCCGGGAGGGCTATGATTTCATCCAACTAGTGAATACCATACTTCATTCTAAGCAAATCCATGTCGATCATCTAAGTGGGAGTGCAAATAAATAGGGAAATAGGTTTCTATGGGCGTAGAATTAGTTAGTTCTAGAGTGACATACTAGATTCTTATCAATTTGGCTTAAGGTTTAGTACCCTCACGCTGGGATTTGACCATCACTGTGGCATAGGCTTAGGCGCATCTAGAGGTGAAAGGATAGATAGTTCTGATGTGTAATTGAAATGTTAAGGAATCAGCTTTAAGTTAGCTAATGTTCTTTGCTAGCACCGAAAGGGGGTAAAGAATAGATATGCTCCTATTTGTCACTGACTATATTAAATTCTAAGCATTTATTTCATTCACATTATCTAGGTAATTGCACAAGAAGGGTAGTCTTTAG